TCTAGAAATGTTAATTTATTTTTATTTTTATTTTTTATTTTTTTCCATGTGTACAGGGGTAACGCACTGTATTAAATATGTAAGGTCATATCTACGTGGGTTTGATTACAGAAACTAATTAAGTATTCTCTAAATAATGAAAAAAGAATAAGATAAAACTATAAGAGCAAGAAGCAATTTAAATATGTTTGGGGACCATTTTTATCTCCAGAATTAAGGATTATTTTAATGTTACATCATTGCCTTTTCTCTTTTACTTTCCTTTTTAGTTTTATTTTAGGATTTCCTATTTTTAATGTTCATACAGAGATTTCTTTAACTGAAATACCGAGTAGTTTCTTTGGTGTGAAAAACTATAATAGGACACAGGATCCTAATGAGATAGATAATAAAGTGAAATAGGAAGTAAAGGGCTAAAGGTATAGGGAAAGTGGGAAGGGTGGGGGAAAGGTAATAAGGGAGAGGAAAAAATATGAGAAACTGAAAAAATGGAAATAAAGTGTTTGTAAATGGGGAGGGGAGGAGGGGATGAAGGGAGGGCAGGGACAAGGGGAAAAAATGAGAATCAAGACCTATTATGTAAAGGTGCAGGATCCCAATGATGAATGTAACTGTATTGTATACCTAGATTGTACCAATAAACTCAATTCAAAAAAAAAAAAAAAAAAGAAGAGCAGTTTCTTGTTTATATGGAAAATTTTCTCCAACATTTTTTCTAAATCATCCACCTCTATTTAAACCTATGAGTACACAAAAATAGCACAGAAGGGTCCAATGCCAGTTCTTAATTTCCCACATCTTATTCCTAAAGGGCTCCTACTTAATAACATCTATTTCATTATTGAAGGCTTCAGAAAAGTTCAGGTCTCAAATAACAAACTTAATTTATGTATTTGTTGAAGGAATATTAACCTGATGAAATCCAAATTCTTTGCATCTGAATCAAGCAAAGTTAATACCAACTTTTGGAGGGAATGCTATCAAATTTAACTAAATAAAAATGAAATAAATTATAATCTTATCAAATATAATTATCTATCAAATACAAAGTTTCAGGGGCTGCGGATTTAGCTCAGTGGTGCTGCACCTGCCTTGCAAGTGCAAGGTCCTGAGTTCAATCCCCAGTACTATAAATAAATAAATTCAATTAAAGCTTCAAATATTTAAAACTTTGTTCAGACATTTCAAATTTCTAAGTACATTAAACAAATATAAAATTATTAAACATAATCATCTTTTGAGAATGTAATAACATTTATTATAAGCCAGAGAAAATACATGAGGATACTATTTATGACTTACTCCTGCATTTTTGAATTAATGTTTTCTGATATAATTCTTATTTTTATAGACTACCAAAGAGCCAACACAAAATTTTCCAGTCACATCATACTTTCATTTGTTCATTTATTCATTCATTCAAAAAAACTGTTGCTGAGTGCCTAAGAGTTTAAATGTCTGGAAGACCAGGAAAGGTATAATGGGTTGAAGTTTGTATGTCCTAAAAATTCACATATCAAAGCCCTAATCCTTATGACCTCAGAATGTGATCTTACTTGGAAATATGCTTGTACCAGATATAATTAGAAAAGTAAAGATGAGCTCATGGCCCTTTGACAGCAAGTAGTCATTTAAGAAGGGGAACTTTGGACATAGAAAAATATAGAGAGAACAATAAAGGTAGGATTGATAAGCCAAGAATGCCTAAGATTGCTACAGGCTAGGAGAGAGCATGAAAGACTTTTCTGACAGTTCTCAGAAGAAAGTAACCCTGACAAATCTTGATCTTGGACTTTTAGTCTCTAGAAATGTGAAACAATAAATATCTGTTGTTTAAGCTAACTAAGTTTGTGGTACTTTTGTTAAAACAGCCCTAGGATGCTAATACAGAAGGTTTCCCTAAAGAATTCTCATTTATGTTAAGACCTGAAAATGAAGTAGAAATTAGCTGAAGAAAGTAAAAAGCATTCCCAGAATTTGAAAATAGCATGCTGAAAGATAGGAAAGAGGGGTAATGAGTATAATGGTTAAGAAAAGGTCTCATCAAACCAGATCAAATCCAGTTCACCACCTGTTCTTAAATCGAAAGACACATGTACTCATTCCTGTATGTATTGTGTATGGCTGCTTTCATGCTACAATGACAGAGTTGTACAACAGAGACCATATGGCACACAAAGTCTAAAATATTTACCATATAGTCCTTTATAGAAAATGTTTGCTAGTCCTACTAAGCATGAACTAAACTTAGACTGCCTGAGCCTATCACTTACTAGCTGTGTAAATACAGCAAAACTATTTAAACTAGAAATATTTTTAAAAATTAAATATTATGCAATGAATGTATAAAATATTTATGAAGTCTATTTTATCATTTCCTACCATGAAACATATACAAATCTATTATAAAAAGTTAGAATTCATTAAAACTCGGTGGCCTGTCTTGCAAGCGCAAGGACCGGAGTTCAATCCCCAGCACACACACAAAAAAAAAGTTGTATGGACTTTTGACTGCACAAGGGTCAGTGGCCCCCAACTTCTGTATGGTTCAATGGTCAATTATATACTCATATATGTAAAGTGTCTAGAAATTAGATACATAGAAAGTCTAAATAACTGTTATTATTAGCACCATTAGTAGGTTTAAGAAGGCAAGTTTGAAGTGAGGTATTAAGGTAGAAATATAATATATTAGTAATTATAATGCATGATATACTAATAATATATATATAATATTGAATTGTTTACTATTTCATTAGCAAGTTTGAGTAGCGAAAGTGAGACTTGAAGAAGATGGAGGCCTTGACTGGGTGGGATAAGAGCTGAATACAGGCTGAATTGTTTTTTTAAAACTTTTGGAGTTTATTCTCACATGAATGAAAGGCTTTCAAAAAGAAGTTAAAAGTTGGAAAGAAACATCACCAAAATGGAATATTTTCCTCCTACTGTAAAAATGTGAAGTGACTACAGGGATCTCTTTTAAAACCAAATCATTACTTATCATAACAAAAGTTTTATAATTATACATTTTTATGTATATTTCTGATGTATAACTTAAACTTTCAAAAGTGTAGCCTCCAAAAAAATTTGATGTGCTGGGCATGGTGGTGCACGCCTATAATCCCAGTACTCGGGAGGCTGAGGCAGGGGGATCGCTGTGAGTTCGAGACCAGCCTGGGCTACACAGTGAGTTCCAGGTCAGTCTCAAATACATAGTAAGACCCTGTCTCAAAAAACAAAAAACAAAACAAAAAAATCAACAACAACAAAAAATTTGATGAAGTTGCTTCAAGTCATCTGAATTTTACAAGAGAGTAAAATAAAGTGCCTTTCAGATAGAAAACAAAATTTGTTGCTATAAATACCCATGCAAATTGTTCTCTGAAGAGGTTTCCAGTCTTGGTGGGCTTGATTAATCATATAATCTATTGTCTAATCTAGGAGATTTTTGAGAGTAAAAAAAAAAAAAGGTCAGTATTTAAAGTTACCCAAACCAGGTATAGTGGCTTGTAATCCTAGCTGCTTAAGAGGCTGAGATAGGAGGATAATCAAGTTCAAGGCCATCTTCAGTAACTTAATGACACCCTGTCTCAAAATAAAAATTTTCTTAAAAAGAGGGGCTAGAGAATCCAAGTACTTGCCTAGCATGCATAAGGTGCTGGATTCAATCCCCAAGACTACACACACACACACAAAAAGTTACCCAAGACAATAAGCATATAGCTTTCCATTACTGAGTACATTTTCCCTGAATCTTTGTAAGTTAGAAGATAAAGATAATATCGCATGAGGCTAAAGTGTCAGTAGAACATCATCCTGAATGATCAGCAAACTTGTAGCTGAAGCCCATCGATTTGATAACAAAAACTCAGCAGTGTCAAAAAGGAAATGCATGCAATGTGGTAACTACTGCTTGTAAGGTTTGAATTTGTTTACCTCCATAATATCTTCTAAATTTTCTTCTGCATCCGCTTTCTCTGTCATCAGTTTGGCTGCCTTAAAATAAGTCTTCATTAGTAGATAACCTCTTTTTGCTCCATTCCAGTATGATCGAGGAATTTCCACCAAGCCATACCCCAACAACAACACAAGAAGGAACAGACCCCACGTGTTAGCAGCAGCTATACCAATTGTCTGAAGTTGGTTCCTAAGACAAAGCATAACCACAGAGTTGTAATAAAAACATTTTTCTACAAAAAAGTAAAATCAAACTAACTAGTATTAAATGGTTTTTCAGAAAAACCAATTTCAAGGATAGGTAGGATTTTATATGAAAAAGTTAGACCTTCAAATACTTATTTTCAGTCACAGCAGAAGTATCTTAATGGGAAGAAAGGGGGCTCACGAACTTAATTCTTTCCACAATTTTGGTCTTAAACTGAATTGGATGAGAAATGAAGCAAATTTCCCAATAAAGTCAACAATAAACCTAACCACTGAATTTGATTCAGTTCTTGTCCAATTTGGTTAGTGACCAGAATCATGGAAAGAATTAAGTTCATGAATCAAGGTACCACAGTACCTCAAAAATGGACTTCAACATAGGAAATACTGCTTTTATTACTGTTAAAATTAGAATCTGAGATACTTAATGGTAAAAAAATGCATAGAAATTTTTCCCAAGGAAAGAATACTTTTCACTAGGTGCTTTTCTATATGATATGAAACAGGAGAAGCATGAAAAAAATTTAAATAAGTATCTCTTAAGGCCAATCTCCACAAATCTCAGGAATGCAACAGTAAGGTATCACTAGAAGTCTATTCCTAAATTTTCAGACCTGTTTTCCATATATGTTACAACATTGATATCAATTTTTTTATTTCAATTTTTTTGAAGTATTTAAATCTAAAAGAACATTAAGGACAAATATACCATCAAATTACAGTTAAAACAAAAAGAAAACATTCACAACTGTTAGGTCTCTGGGGGCATGAAAAAGAAAACTACATATTTGTTCATTTATAAAATTTGAAATTCTATCTAAAAATAATTTTATTACTCTTAATATACAGTGATTAGTAAAGCATTCATCCACCACGTTACTGTTACATGTGTGTGTATACATATTTTTTTAATGGTACTGGATATTGATTTCCAGCCATTTAAAAAAAATTTTTTTTTTTAAATTTTAAGATTGTCTTCCTAAGTCACTTAGTTACCTGGGCTCGCCTTGATCTTGTGATCTTTCTGCCTGAGCCTCCCAGAACGCTAGGATTAAAGTCACGTACCACCATCCCAGCACCTAATAGTTATTTTTATTTTTATTTATTTATTTATTTATTTATTTTTGGTTTTTTGAGACAGGGTCTCATTGTATAGTTGAGACTGACCTGGAACTCACTATGTAGCACAGGCTGGTCTCGAACTCACAGTGATCCTCCTGCCTCAGCTTCCCAAGTGCTGGGATTACAGGCATGCGCCACCATACCCAGCCCCTAATAGTTATTTTTAAAGATGTTATCCGGCACTATCTTTCTTAGTAATAATTATCAGATTTTTGTGGGGTAATCTATAAAATACATAATTTGCTAAGTTTCTTGGTAAAATGTCTATTCTTGTGTATATGAGATAACATTTGAAAAATGATACACACATAAACAATGTTAAGAAGACTACTTTTCTTACCATTCTAAGTGCAAACGTGGGTTTACAGCTACATAAATTAAAAATGCTCCAAAAATTAGCAAATAGGTGCCGTAGTATATTGCGTTTTCAATCAGTGCAGTTTTTATCTTTCCAGTGATGGAAAACCCTCCAGATCTTGCATATGACTGCATAAAAGGTAGCAGGATCCTAGACAGGAAGAAAAATGATTAGAAAAACAAAACAACTATA